ATGTATCTCAATGTATAGAACACTTCCTGTAGCTCAGTGGTTAGAGCACTCGCTTCGCAAGCGAGACACCTGGATTCAATTCCAGGCAGGGTGAAACCTTGGGCAAGTTTCCTTACTCCACACGTCTAATAATAATCCCTCCAAAACAATAATAAATTGGTCATTTTCAATCCACGACTGTTTGTGGGACACTGCTGTGCGCAATTGGCTGCTGCGTTTTGCCCACAAATATACGGTCAATTCACTTACAGTCTATTCTGTGAAGCTCTTTGAGACGTCGAAAAGACTTGAAAAGCGCTATATCAAATGCAAGGATTATTATTATTATAATTATTATTTTAGGTCTCCAGTTAGACAATCCAACACACCAAAAACCCTCTACTTAACTGTTAAACTGTGCTTCCTGCTTTCTCTCCCTCCTGATCTCCTTCCATTGGTCCTTAGTCAATTGGTGCTTTTTTATTAATTAGTATCCAACATTTTCCCCTTTTTGATTTCCTCTTTTTTTCTTTGTATCTCAGTCTTGTTCAATTATTCTCCTTGTTGGTTTTATTACTCTCCCTGATCTGGAGGTTCTCAATGTTTCCGGCAAACTTGGATCTTCCTTCTATTCTTCTTTTTCTTCCTCTGTCCTTCTTTGGCATATTTCCCGTGAACCTCTTCTGGTGCCTCTTTTCTGTTTTTAGACCACCCCTTTTTCAGCATTGTCTGAATTGCGGTACTTATCCTATCTCTTTTGTTTGCTTTTCTAATCTCTTTCTCCTGTCTTGTTGTCTTTGCCATTTCCCATACCTAGAATTCTTTTTCTAATTGCTCCTCATCTTCGTTCACCTTTTGATTGGTGGCTCGACTTAGTACGACTGCCACATATAGTGTTTCCCAGGTTTGTACTGAAATTCAATACTATATCTCTGTGGCCGTATTCTCATTCTTTGTAGTCTTGGTGGTGTTTCATTGAGCCCTTTTCTCAGAATGGCCTCTAATGATTGATGATCATTTACCATAATCACTTTTTTCCCCAAATGTATATTGCTATCTTTCACATCCAAACACCACAGCTAAACACTCTTTTTCCATCTGGGCATATCTTTAATCCCTCCAAAACCCAAAACAATAATAAATTGGTCATTTTCAATCTACGACTATTTGTGGGACATTGCTGTGCGCAATTGGCTGCCGTGTTTGCCCACAAATATACAGTCAATTCACTTTGCAGTGTACTCTGTGAAGCGCTTTGGGACGTCCTCCCGACGTGAAAAGCGCTATATCAAATGCAAGGATTATTATTATTATTATTATTATTTTCTCCCTTTCCGAGAGAGTCCTGGATGCATATGCTATGATTTTTCCTCTTTGTATTACTACTGCTCCTATTCTGGACTGACTTGCATCCACAGATATTGTCACTGGTGCACTTATATCATAAAATTTTAATACTGAAGCTTTTGATATGGTCTCTTTCATTTTATTAAGTGCTCGTTGCTGTTCCTTTTCCGATATTAATTCTGTTTTCTTTGACAAGCTCTCTATGATTTCAGTAACTTTCAGAATGAATCTCTCCACCCAATTCACCATTCCCATTAGTCTTTTTACTGCCTTCTTATCTGTAGGTGCAGGCATTTTTGTGATTATGGTTACTTTTTGTGGATCAATTTTCAACCCATCCTGGGTAATGATGTGTCCCAAATATTTTACTTTACTCCTATCCGGCATTTCTCTTTGTTCAATTTTACATTTTCCTGCAAACATTGTTTTAGTGCCTGCTTCAAACTTTCATCGTGTTCCTTTCTTGTCCATCCATACATTAGGATGTCATCAATATAGTATATGACTCCTGGTATTCCTTCTATTAGTTGTGACAGTTTTTTCTGAAATACCTGTTGAGTTGATGCCGAATGGCATTCTGTGAAAGCAATATCTCCCGTAAGGCGTCATAAATGTTGTCAAGTATGTACTTTCCTCCGACAATTTGACTTGCCAATATCTGGATGAACAGTCTAATGTCGAGCTCCATGCAACAATGCACGAATATCCTCTAAAGTAGATATCGCAGTGTTCCCTTTTTATTGATTTGTTCAATTATTGTGGGTCGAGACATATTCTTAACGATTTATCCGTTTTTTTTCTACAGCTACCACGGCACTTCCATAATCAGTGGGTTTCTCTACTTTTTTTTATTATCTGGTCCTTTTCCATTTTATATAATGTTTTTTTTAGTCTCTTTTTCAGTTCTTCTGACACTCTCCTAAGCTTTACTGTTTTTTTAATCTTATTGTGTATTCCCTTTTCATCAGTCTCCTTTTTCCAAAAACTTTATTTTTTTCAGTATTTCTTCTGCTCCAGAAGAGCTTTCTTCTGTTTGTAGTTTTTTGTCTCCACACTCTGAATTCTTTTTAGCAATCCCATTTCAATGATATCTTGCAGGAATCCCATCACTTGGACCAGGCTCTGTCGCTGTCGAAGTGCGGGATCCAGCACTCCTGCAGGAACAGAACATCGGTATTTACCCTGGACAGGTACTGGAGTGTTGCAACACAGTGTGTTTTATCATATACACTGGGCATGTTCAGGGTACCCATCCTCGGTGACATCTTACCCTATACTTACCACCTTTTCCTTGTCCCCTTCTTTTCCCCGTCTCCTGCTTGGATCTATTCCCAACCCCTTTGGGGGACCTGACAGGTCTTCTCTTCCCTCTGCTGCCCTCGGTGCTGGGGGTTTCCGCCCTCCACTCCAAAGGTCTCTCGTTCTCCGAGACGCTGCTCTCCTCTCCACCTCCCCGACTTCACCTTCCCCGCTCTCCTTGTGGCTTTCTGCCGAGCCTTTGGGTCCTGCCCGCTCTGCCTCACGGATTCCCAATGCGGCTTCCCTCCGCGGACTCACAACTTCCCACCTTGTCTTTTTTCCCTAACTCCTCCGGTCCACTACTTCCCGTCGTGGTTTTGGGCCCTATCTTCTCTGCCCCATGGCTTCCTACCGCTGCTTTGGGCCCTATCTTCTTTGCCCCATAGCTTCCCACTGAGATCTCACAGCTTCCCACCAGGTCTTCACCACCATCCACTTTTGGCTTCACTTCCATCTCAGTTCCTGCCATCTTATTTCCACTCCTCCCTCTATCCTTCTCTATTATTTCCCCACTTTGCTTCTCACTTTTCTCTTCCTCTCTTTTCCTCACCACTTTCTCAGTCCTACTTTTCTCTCCTTTCCCCTTCTCCTCCCTTCCGCTACTTTCACTTCTCTTTCCTCCCCCACCATTTCTCCTCACACCACTACCATTACTTTTCCCTCTCTCTCTCCTGTCAGCTTCCCTGCCATTTTCACTTCTACTTCTCGGTCTATACCCACTCTATCTTTCCTGCTTTCATATACCTTATCCTCAATTATTTCTCCTTCTTCCACACTACTACCCCTCTTCTCTTTGCTCTCCTTCCCATTCCTATTTTTTTCCCAATGACTATGACTAGGCAAAAAAAAAAATTTACCTGGGTTTCCCTAAACAGGGAAAAACCCAGACTTTTGCCTGTCCTTTTAGGCTTAGCCTGATATCAGATCCCTTTTCCTCTATAATTTTTTTCCCCTTACTTCAAAATCTTTTATCTCAGGTCTCCAGTTACGCAATCCAACAGCCACACCAAATACCCTCTGCTCAGTTCTTCCTGCTTTCTCTTCCTCCTGATCTCCTTCCATTGGTCCTAGTTAATTGATCTTTATTTATTAATTAGTATCCAATAGCATGCAGCAATGTTCCACAACAGCCATGAAGTACATGACCAATTTTATTTGGCAGAATGTCGGCCAAGTCTCATTTGAGAAGGAGAAACTCCTTTCTCTTTTTCAGTAGTGCATGGGATATTTAACTTCCATTATGTCTTCCAGATACTCTCACAATTTGCATCTGATACGCTGTGTCGCTTCACTCTTTTATAAACTATCACTCACTCTGCTCATTACCATTAATCAATTCCCAGTCCCTCACCATTTGAACAATTGCTTCCTTAAACTGTGATCGGTTGCCGTCGTTACTGTTTGTATTCAGAGACCTGTTTGTGCGGGCTGCAGTCGGTTTCCTCACTCACGCTTTCCTTTTGCGTTTGGGTTCAGTCATGATCTTCAGAAACACAATACAGTATTTCTCATGAATTTAGCTTTAAGGCTTGGATTATAAGATTATGCAAAGTTTTTGGAAATTTGTGAAATGCCACTGATATATTCAGGGTGGGGGGCTCATGCAAAGTATATACACTGGCACGCACTTGTTGGGCCGAATGGCCTGATTCTGTGCCATAGTACTCTATGTAACTCTATGTACTTGCAAACAACTTGCAAATATTGAATCCTGCCAGTAATCAGATGAACATCTGCCTAACCAGATGCCCCCACAGGTGAACTTCACTCTTCTTTCATGGGAAAAGACGATAAATGAGGTGATATTTGCACTCTGTGCATAAATGTAACAAGATTGATTAATCTACGCAGTGTGACAAAATAGGCAACCATTGCCTCCATGTAAATCATGACTATACATTTACAAAGTTCTGAGTTGTTTGAATGTATTTTTTTATTCAGGAACACGAGCTACGCTTTAAATAACATACATGTGAAGATCCAAACGATAATGTTAGAATTAGATGTTGATATAAAGAGATTTGCATATTATCCTCCCAGAAATTATACCCTTTGTTACAAATATATTTCATAGTATTTTAATATCAAGAGTAGAAATGAAGATTTTGATAACATTTCTTGGCATTATCATCAAGGAACTCTATGACCCAGTCAGTGATCTTTCTGACTGAGTCCAAATCCCTGACTGTCCAGTGCCCTAGGACATCCTCCCGATATGAAAGGTGCTATACAATTGTAATTTGTTGTTGATGGAGATGTTTCTGTGTTAGTGTCACTGTGTTAGTATTACATTGCATTGTTATTGAATTGGAATACGAATTTCAATCAAATAACACTTTTTTAAAAAAATCACAGGCAGCATTTCAAAACTATTATTTTTTGCAGCAAACTTGTTCTAAACATTATTATTTTAAATGATTTGGCTCAAGCTCAGTTTTGCTTCATAACTCCAATAGGTGAAATCTTCATTGCTAACAAATGTATCAAAAATACACTTGTTTTTTGTAAAAATGATTCCGATTTGGGTTGCTGTAAAGTTCACAAAACACAATCACCAAAAAAATGGGATGTTTCATTGACCATTCTGAATGACACTTCTTTCCTAATCACACTATGTATGTAAATTTAAACCCTGTTTCTGTCTAGGAAAATAATATAGTTTTCATTTCAAAAGGACAGTGCATCAATGATATAAATTGGATATTCTGTGGAACATTCATCCTCCCCTCTGGGAGAGTATTAAAATCATTCTATATTATAAGCCTATCTTCATACAAGGCAAGAAGCAGAAGACAAGTCCATCCCAATAGCAATCCAATATTCTGAAAAATGAACATCAACCAGGGCTTTGTTGATTGAACATGGGTCATGTCGGGCAACTGTTGAAGTGAAAATAAAAAATATAGTCAGCATTTTAATATTAACATGATGATGGAGTAGGAATAAATTTTCAACTATTCTATCTTCTTGTTTGACCTCTCTCTCTCTCTCTTCTGTGTTATCTTTCTCAATTGATACAGTATCAGAAGGGTCATTGCTCTTATAGATTTTCACCTCTTTCTTCTCCAAAACACTAAATGTGTTTCTGCCTCCCTCATCTTTCTCCCTGTATTCTCACAATGTTGAACCCCAAATTCCAACTCTTTGTTTGTTCTATTTCAACTGATTCTTTGCCAGGATGTGAATGCCTTACCTTTATCCTTATCTTCTTTGTGAACCAGTTTTGTGAAGCACTTTGAGACATTCTCAACATTATAGGCAATATACAAAATACAATGATTAAATATTAATTATTGTTATTATGGGATTTTTAACCTCCATCTGAACAGACCACCTGGATCTTTGTCTCATCGGAAAGATGGTTTCTCTTGACAATGCAGCACTTCTCCATTACTACACTGGAGTATCAGCTCCAGATTGTAATTATATAAACATTGCAGGGTAATAAGTGGGTATGTTATATCAGATCAGAAATACTGCAGTCATTTTCCAACAATTATCTTCAGAAATAAAAAATAATTGAAATGTTATTATTAATTTTAATAACTGAACAATACCACTAGATGGTGCTGAAACTGTGCTTCATGAGGATCTAAAATAGCCAGCTTCAGCTAGGAATATATTTTTTTCAGTACTGATATTAACCATGGTTGACTCCTATAAATGATATTCATCTGATGTATATTTTCTAACATGCATGTAGTTCAAAGGAATGGTAAATTATGCGTAAACTGTGTACATTAGGGTTGAAAAAAGTGATTGAACGGGAAAGCTGTTGTGTAAATTGCATTACTTCTGGGGGAAAAATATCTTCGAGGTTTAAAGTACAGGTCCTATAGGGAACCAAATGTAAGTTAATCTGACCTCGAGAACTTTGTTCCAAAAGCAATTACAGGTCGGAGCAGAGTTCTTGTGAGTCAGAGTGATGTATATGGGGGTTCTCTGCTTGAGACGCACCTTACCACTCAAGATGCTGTTCCTGGAGCTCACACCATTTATACTCCAGTTTTCCTATTCGAGTCCTTTATCCACTTGAATGACAGGTAATAAGAAAGGTCCGCATACTTCTACAACCCCAAAATTCAATTTTTGGGTACTCCTACAACCCGATTCACTCAATATTTGTATTACTAAAGATTTAATTCTGAAACCTACAAATAATTTCTTGTAAACTACAAGACATGCACAAATGTGAATTTCTTTAAGACAAAAAAAAATTGGCCTGGAAGCTGATTTTTATCCTTTGAAATTAGTTTCCTGATTAGTGTTAAAACTCCAGCACAAAGCACTTACTGCACTGTATGTTGTGCAAAGGGCTTATTCATTTGTTCAGACTTAATGGGAGTTAGGTGCTGCTATTGCCAGAAAACCACATGTCATGCCTGAGTTATGTCTTCATTTTCCAGGTCACAAAATGTGAATCATTTACAGGGACTTAATTTAAATTCTATTTCCCCTCTCGTTTGATTAAAAACAATCATTGCCACTTCCCGCAAACCACTGCAAGTACAAGATTAATATTTTTGTAATCCACAAGACCCATTCAAAAGTAGTAATTAAAATAAGATTTGTTGGGGCATGGGCATCATCAAAGAGCCTTGTCATGAATTGAAAATTCTAAATGCATATAAGTAGCCCATTTCAGATTTGTAAAAAAACACTAAGAAATAATCATCTGCCCCTCATCACATCTGTTCTCAATGCAATTCAAAGGATTTTACACTAATGTGACACTATTTATAGGTGAACCGAACTAGGCTGACACCAGGCTGATACTATTAAGCATTAAAGTGTGGTCTTATTTGCAATAATCAGAAATATACTCGGAACTAGTAGCTCCTGCAGGTATTTGGATATGTTGGAGATTTTTGGCAAATATTCTAGCAAATATGCCCTCTGCCATAATACCAAACAACTATTTACATTTATCGTCCTTCAAGAGCGTAGCATCACAGAGTGCTTAAAGCAATACAAGGGTAGACTCTGAGGAAATCCCAATTCAAAAGTCTATTAACTGGAAAACACTTGATTTTAGCCTTTAAGACCCTATTGTCTTAAAATTTAAGATGGCACTGAATTATGGAAATGTCTTAAATTTAGTCTTAAGCTGAAAGTTTTTTTTTAAAAAGGAATAGCAGAAAAGCAGCTATGTACATTAAGATGGAATTTAAGGATTTTGCACAATTCTGACAATCTGAAATTTCAAGACAAAATTGGTTGTATCGGTTAAGGCTAGGTGAAATTTTGTCTTATGCTATAACAAAGTTTTTCCTATAAAAGACATTCTTCTCCCCAAAAAACTTTATTGTTTTTGTATAATAATGAGCTTTTCACTTCCTGTTACTGTAAAGCGCTCTGAGAAGTTTTTGTTTCCACCCAGAAAATATAATACCGTGTTCACCTCTGTTTTTACCTGGATTTTAAATGTAATGGTGAATTGGAATTAACATCTGTTCATAAACACTGATAACAATTTTCATTTATATAATGCCCTTCATGCAGGATACATTCCAGCGCCTTGGGTCATCCTCCCGATGTGAAACGTGCTATACAAATTCAATTTTGTATTGTATAGTATTTTGTTACATCGATGAGCTCTGTTGATCATTTAGAATGATTTTAATATGTGGCCATTGCAATAATAAGAATAAGAATTTTTGTATTTAATATAGCACCCCAATCACGCCATTGAGACATCTCAAAGCATGTCACAGAATGTATTGTAAAGTAAATTGACTGTGTATTTTGTGGACAAAGGAGGTTATACCTTTTTTCCTGTTTGACATAAGGTTAAAGATCACAAAAAAATGGCAGGAGTGGAACCATCTTTGAAAAGCTTGTTTTAAGTTAACAGATTGAAGAAAGAAGAGCAGTAAAGTAGGCAGTGGGTATTAAACTCATTTAACTCACCATTTCTACCAATGACAGGTAGAGAAACATCCCTGCTGTGACAGTAAAAATCCACTGTTGAACAGAGGGGTCGGTTGACAGAGAGAGTCCAATGTAGAGTCCAACGAAGGCCGTTAATGCACTAATAAAGTTCATCAACATCGCAACCTTTACAGTTAAGCCGGAGTTCAGCAGTACAGCAAAATCCCCTGCATAAAAAAATAAAATATTACAGTGAGAAACGGCAAGAAATGCAACACAAAATCCATGCAAATCCAATGGAACCAGGGAAGTATTACACCATATTCTATGCCAAGCTTTTTTTTAAATTAGAATTTAGGGTTTTGCAAATACTATAACATTATTACTATTGCCAGTAGAGACTCTGAATTACTTTAATGCACCTGCGCTCAATTCAATTCATTAAAAAAATTACAACATGAATTGCTTAAAGTCCCAATTCAACACTTTTCTAACTGTGAAACAGGTAAAATATTCATCTGAGCTATAAAGGTATATTCCAACCAAAATGTTATAGACATAGAACCATAATCAGTTACATCTATGGTTCTATTTTCTGTACATATACAGTTTAAATTCTTGCTGGGCAGTGATTATGGGGTTGGGAGAGCTTTCTAATAACAGGGTTGAAAATTTCAACCTGTGAGAATCATCACATTAATACTAAATGTGGCCAAAGAAGACAATCCAGAACTGTAGACTGGCAATGGACTGGTCCCCCTGACTCTGTCACAATTGTTGGATCTGGATGCCCCTAACCCTAAGTAGCAGTTGAATATTCCAACATTGGACACTGGTTGACAGGTTTCCCACTTTACTTTGAGTATTTTGATTGAGTCTAGCCAGGATCTCATGAAATGGTATTGAATGTTATGATTGTCGGGCTGGCAGGTGCAATGGTCACTATGGGCAGCTTCAGACACAAGTTACTTCATGGAGTCATAGGCGAATCACAAGATTGGTTTGGATGAAGAAGATCTTTCAGCCCATCCAATTTCATCCTTTCCAAACACCCACCCTACTGTCCCCTCATTACTGCATCAAGTTTATTTTTAAATGCGTCTTATGTTCTGGTCTCGAATATGGTTCCTGGTAAACTATTGCAGTCACTGAGGAAAGTAAATCCTCTGTGTAAAGAAAAACTTTCTGGTATCTGTCCTGAAATGACCCTTTACAACTCTAAATCTAAGTCCTCTTGTTCTACATTTCTCAACAATCAACGGCAACAACAGCAACAAAATTACATTTGTATAGCGCATTTCACATCAGAAGGATGTCCCAAGGTGCTGGGCAATCAGAATTTTGGATTCAAGCTGGGGGTTGGGATCGGGGAGGGTGGAGGGGAAGCAGGGTGATCGAAAGCACAGTTGAAGAAGAAGGTCTTGAGATGGTTCTTGAAGAGGGCAAGGTAGGGGTCGAGGCGGAGGGACTGTGGGTTGGAGTTCCAGAAGGTGGGGCAGAGTGCAGAAGGCCCGATCTCCAATGAATCAAACAAGATCTCAAGGTTCTGGACTGGCTCAGTGAGGTGGAGTGTGCATCCATGGATGGTGATGCTGTCAGTGCCTGAGGTGTGGAGGTGCTGATGGGAGCCAATCAGGAGAGCCTCAGTCTTGTTTACGTTCAACTGTAGAAAGTAGCTCTCATCCAGGACTTGATGTCTGACAGACATTCAGTCAGGGCAGCAGTGGTCCTGGAGTTGAGGGTGGAGGCAGAGAGATAGAGTTGGAAGTTGACCCCTTGTCTGCGGATGATGTCACCAAGAGGATCATATAGATATTGAAAAGGAGGGGATCAAGGACAGAGCCCTAAGGAACGCTGCACAAGATGGTGCAGGGGCTGGAGGAGAAACCGTTTGTGGAGATTGAGCTAATCATTGATAACAATTAACAAGACACATATTGCAATTTCTAAACTAATGTTTAGCATGTTCTAAAATAGTACCAGTTGCATAATGAATGGAATTGGTCCAATTTAACCTGAACTTAAAGCAGCTTTTGATAAGTATCACATTAAATCTTCACCCCAGAGTTGCTAAATGTAGCTCAAAGGAATTTTAGCACAGAATATAGTTATCCTATCATAGATTTCAACACGGCAACGGTAAATGTTAAAAATTGGACAGTTACTGTGAACCTACCCATTTCATGAGGAATCTCGTGGAACAAAATAGCAATGGTGGTAGCAATACCAGTCTCAACTGTAGATGAAAAAGCTGCACCAATAGCCAGGCCATCAGCAAAGTTGTGCAGCCCGTCTCCAACCAAGATCATGATAGCCAGCATGTTCAACCCGTTCTCTGTGGAAGAATACGTTGTTACTCTGTCAGAAGAGAAGCTTTGACTGAAAGTGCATCTGTTTTGCCTTTTTCTCAGTTACTTCAAAAATGTTGGATGTAATGTTTACTTCGGTTGGAGTTTGTTAACAGCCTTTCCTTCAAATGACAAGAAACTTTAATGTAAAATACAATACTGGAGGTCAAACTATTTGAATAATTACTTTCGCTCAGTCTGTACATCTTGCCTCGAGTCTTTGATGCAATATATAGACTGATATTGTCATAAGCAAACCCTGCAGGCCAAAGCCCTAACGGGTAGGATAGTCTTAACTGAACATGCAGCGGTAAAGCTTGCCAGACAGCGATATCAATGGCAAGCGATGCGATTTTAGCTAGTTAGACTCCAGCAGTACCCCAAATCACACTCTGGAGTCCCCAAGGCTTGGCACTTGCCAACCTGCAGTAATACTTTCTGCAATTAGGTAAACAGGAAGTGTCCCTCCAGGGCGAGAGTGCGCATTTCATTCCAACAATCTATCTCTGGGATTTTCATGTGTAGGTGGGATGCATGGAAATCTCAGCTTGGTTTGGATACTCTTAAGCATGGTGATGGGTTTCCACATGTGTCAAACACCCGGCTGACCCCAAAAAATGATGAGTCTGTTAAGTCAACATCCTATCTGACTCAGTTGGTAGCATCCTCGCTTCTGGGCAGAAGGTAGTGGTCTAAAAACCAATGTGAGGTCATCGTCTAGCCTGACACTGCAGGTGTTGCGTTATTGGAGGTGAGAGGTTAAAACAAGGTACTGTTCGTGTAAAGAATCCACGGCACTATTTGAAAAGAGACAGGGGTTTCTCACAATATGCTACCCAATAATTGGAACAATAATTAATCTGGCTCAGTTAGTAACACTCTGGCATCTGAGCCAGATGTTTGTCGGTTTAAGTTCAGATGCATGTGGAAACCACTCACCATGCTTAAGAGTATCCAAACCAAGCTGAGATTTCCATGCATCCCACCTACACATACTGGGAGAGCAATGCATTGTCAGAGATACTGTTCCACGGATTAAATGCACAGATTATTTCTTTCTTGTCATCTACTTCATAGCAATTTGTGGAACCTTGTCCTGCTACACCTGACAGTAATTATAGTGAAACACTTTGATATGTTTTGTCAGGGTTATACAAATTTTTCAGGCAGATGAGACCAATTTTTAGTTTGGAGTTGTTAAAATTAAGAACACACAGATCACAAGAGAGATCCATTATTGCTCCTTTATTCCCTTTCCCCTCGTGTGTGTATATGAAATAAACTCTGCCACAATTAGTGGATAAAATGGAATCGACAATTAGTGAATAATGCAACTATTTCACTTAACATATGTTCCCTGGACTATATCAAATACTCCTAAGAGGGTGCAAAGCCTGCTTAGACCTCCTTAATTATATTACAACTGAGATCAGGTACTCAGTGGTATAGGACAATCAAGGAGGAAACTGTAAGTGAGAGCAAGGAATAGAATGTTTTATGGTCAGTCAGGTGTCTGAAACATGTGGAAACCTATTACTGGTGTATCCAAACCACACCACAAACATGTGCCACCTACACATGGAAATTTCCTGGATCTGGAATGGAATGTGCACTCTCTCCCTGGAGGGCTGGACCCTACTTATCTACTTTCAGAGAGTATTAGGCTCAGGTTAGTGAGAGCCATGACTTGGGGATCCCAGAATTTTTGCATAAGATACTGATGGGGTTCAACCAGCTGAAAACTCATAACTGACCATTGCGAGCACTGCGTGGCAAACTTCCAGCTGCTTGTCCAGCTTGGGCCACCCTACCCATTAGGGCTTGTAACAACAACAACTTGCATTTATATATCGCCCTTCACACAGGTCAGCATCCCGGAGTGCTTGACAGTGGTGGAGTCTGACCCCGAGCCAGGGGGAGAGGGAGGGGGGAGGTGACCGTAAGCACGATCAAAAAGGAAGATCTTTAGTTGGGTTTTGATGGTGGGGAGGGAGGGAGCAAAGCAAAACAGATTGAGGGTGATAGTTCCAGAGATTTGGGGCCCAGTGGCTGAAGGCATGGGCACCGATGGTGGAGTGAAGGGCACGAGGGACAAACAGGAGGTTGGAGCCAGCCAACTGGAGGCAGCAAATGGTGGAGTAGGGGGTAAGCAACTCGGATAGGTTGGGAGGTGCGAGGGCATGAAGGGATTTGAAAACGAGTGAGAGGATCTTGAAATCGATCCGTTCGGTAATTGGGTCCCAGTGGAGCCTGGCAAGGACTGGTGTGATAGGGGTACAGAGTTTTGTGTGGGTGAGTATCCAGGCGTCGGAGTTTTGAATTAATTGAATTTTGTGTATGGGAGACCAGCGAGGAGGACATTGGAATAGACCAGCCGGTAAGTGACGAAGGCGTGGACAAGGGTTTCAGCTGTGTCGGTTGCGAGGTACCGATGGAGGCAGGCATTGTGACAGAGGTGGAAAAAAAAGCAGTCCTGGTCAGCGAACGGATGTGGGGTAAAAAGGAAAGCTGGGGATCGAACCTGATGCCTAAGTTGCGCACAGTTTCGGTGAATCTGAGGGACAGCCTGGGGGGTTGAGGAGTTCAGAACTGCAGGAGAGAAGACATTGACGGGAGCCAAAGAATATGGCTTCTGTCTTGTTGACATATTAATAATAAGAATAATTTAGTCACTCAATCCACTGCTGTGCACAATTGACTGCCGCAATTTGTCCACAAAATATACAGTCAATTCACTTTACAGTATATTCTGTGAAGCGTTTTGAGATGTCTCGAAGATGTGATAATATACCAAATGCAAGGATTATTGTTATTATTCAGCTGCAGGAAAGTTGCGCTCATCCAGACCTTGATGTCCATCAGACAAGCTGACAGGATATCAGTGGACTGGGAGTTGCAGCTGGAGGAGAAATAGGGTGTCAAACACATATATGTGGAAGTTGACCCCATGTCTGTGAATGACATCACCAAGAGGGAGCATGTAGACCAGGAAAAGAAGGGGGTCAGGGATGGAGCCTTGGGGTACCCCGCAGGTGACTGGGCAGAGATGAGAGGAAAAACCATTTGCCGAGATGTATTGTTGGCGGTTTGTTAACTAGAAGGGTTAATAGGAACTGAACGGGAAGAATCTCTGTCCCAGTGAAGCATAGAGAAGGCTGTGGGCAAAAGCAGGCACCAAATCATGAAACCAGATACCTTTAAGTTTGTTAGTGTTCCCTGTCCCTGCTAGGCAATCCTCCAACTCTACTAGCTCAGCATTCATTCTTCAGCCAACTTTGTCTTGGTGCATTCTGTTTACGTGTGATTCTAGTGGGTTATCAGTTTACAATACATTAATACAATAATCCAATAACTATCTTCTGTAACGCATTGACTTATTCAACTATCAAGAATATGCCTGTTGTTTGGTACAGTCTATGTCAAACCTATAGGATGGATTTTCTGTTTAGATTGAAATGAAATACTCAGTAAGAGTTGTTGTTTGTTGTCTTTGTGAAATCCACTTACTTTTGTCATTCTCAAACTCAATGTTTGCTGCCTCATTGGTGGCCACTTCAGTATTTTCTGAATCTTCTGGATTTCCCTGTTTATAGAAAATTTGACAAGAATATTTTAATGCTTTCCCAAAACTGAATAATGGTCACTTGAAGAAGATCTTGAAGCGTGATCAGCACCAGTGGAGCCATACCCAATTAGATGGAAAAGGAGTCAAATGTCTTTGGGAGGAGGATGGAGGAGAAAAGTTGGAGGAAAATTGGTGGAATGAATAATATGTGCAACAAAAGCATGAGATCTTAGAAAGAGTCAAAGTATATATTAGATACTATTAGAAATCATGGGACTAGTCTAGCCTGGGTATGTTGATATTTAAAGTCCACCCCATTAAATGACATTAAATACCTGTATATGAAATCAATTCATAATCATTTTTTCTTGTTCTGCTTTATCATCTTACTGGATGTATGTTTGAGGAGTAAGCAGCACAAATTTGAGTACTTACCAATTGCATGGTGGAAATAGATTTATTCCTCTCTGTTTGACTGTTCAAGTTTGATACCAATGGAAGATCATGGGAATGCCCCAAGTGTCCAGTTGCAAAGGAATGAGTCTAGTTTGGAGAAGGAGGGAAAAATATTTTGTTTTAGTGAGACAAATGGAGACGTTCTACCAATTTTTAATAAAAACATAAGATATGAACAGCATACACCATTTAGCCTAGAAGCATAGGAGACCAGGGATGGAGAGGTCAGAGTGCGAGTGGGAGGGAGAGTTGAAGTGGCAAGAAATCGGAAGCTCAGTGTTGTGCTTGTGGACAGAACAAAGCAAATCAGTCACCCAATCTGCGTTTGATCTCCCCACTGTAGAGGAGACCACATCGTGAGCAGCGAATGCAGTAAACTACATCAGCGCCTTGGGACGTCCTCCCAACACGAAAGGCACTATACAAATGTAATTTTGTTGTTGTTGTTGTAGAACACGTAAATCGCTGTCTCACTTGAAAACTGTATTTGGGGCCCTGGACAGTGGCATGGGAGGCGGTGAAAGGGCAGGTATTGTATCTCCTCTCTGTTAGTCCTTAAAAGCCTCTCATTCCCAACATGCCCCAGTTCTGATGGAGGGTTGTGGACCCAAAAAGTTGACTCACTTTCCTTTCTCCATAGATGCTGCCTGACTTGCTGAGTGTTCCCAGCGACTTCTGTTTTTGTTTCAGATTTCCAGCATCTGAAGTATTTACCCCTAGTAATTTGTCTGTTCCTCTTGGCTGTTCAAATAGGTAGCTGGAAACTGTACAAAGTAAGTTGTATAATTTGAGCTCTGTAAAGAAAACTTGGCTCTTGCAGAGGGACCCCCTGCTTCGACAATCTGAAGGAAAGATAATTCTTTGTGGCACTTCCTTTGAATTTAGAGAAGCTATTTTCATAAAATATGTCAGTAAGCTTCATGAAGGCAAATGCCTTGGCTCTATCAAACAGTAAGCTCACAAAAATCGTACCCCAGTTTCCTCATGGTTTTTAACTTGTTCCTAAACTCCACTGGTATTTTGATTCAAAAGATAAACCTGCAATCTTGAGAGTTGGTGGAAAAGCCCTTGAATTGCTTTAACATGCAAGTTGTCTGTGAATAATACATTGACATGTCATTCACCTCAACATATTTACAAACACAAATCTAGGTTTAATCTGTCAATCGGACAGACCTATTGTAAATGTATCTTGACTATATAAGAAACAAAAAGGGTAAAAGGGTAAATCTCTGACCGTGGATCCGTAACTGCCCAGCGCCTTGGGATATCCTCTTCACGTGAAAAGTGCTATACAAACATAATTTGTTGTTGTTGTAATAAAATGGCAGTGTTTCATAATGTGTTTGATGTGCTTCACAGGATTTTAACATGAAGACTAGTGACTGTGTATTTTGTAATTGACTATTTCGTTTCTTACCTGACCCCTCAACGTCACGATGAGAATGAATAGTTTCTCAATTAGAAAAAAGCCATAGATTCCTCCAATTACACCAAGCATTTTCCAGAGGTACTCTTTGCCTTCAGCAAAATGGTCAGACTCCCCTGGCCCATGCTCATGTTCATGCCCAGGTTCGTGTCCATGTAGGTCAAGAATCTTGTGCCCAAGAGAAGGAAAATGAAACTTCATTAAATTATTGATTTATGTCTTTTGGAAAATTAACTGAGAAATGTTATGCCTTCCAGCTCAATGCAAATTTTTTGTAGTACAATTTATTCCAGATATGGACTCCATCCAAACCCAGACCCCAAATTGTGTGTAAATCAGCTAAAGAATGACTAGAAAGCAAAACAAGAACTTGCATTCCTTGTCAAGTCGAAACAACTCAAAGCACATTGTATGTAATTAATATCAAGATTTTTGTGGAAGAACATAGTAGTTAATTGAGTTGGCAAGGTCTCAAATGAACCATGTGATGAATGACGAATTAATCAGGATAGTGTAACTCCCTTCTCTTTTTGAATAGCATCATGGGATCTTTAACTACATTTTAATGTCTCATCCTAGGGATGGCACCTCTGACATTACAGCACTCCCCCAACAGTGCATAGGAGTGTCTGCCTAGACCATGAGGTCAAAGTGCCGTGCTTGGTCTGGATTTTAGATTGCAGTTTAACTCAATTTAGCTTGCCTGCCCTCAATAGGTAAGATATGACCATTTACCATAATGAAAAATGCTTTTTGGAAGGAGGAAAAACTACCAGGAACAAAATGTATCCCTCTTTGTTCTTGATCTTTCCTGAAATTTTATGCAATTAAATTTTAACACTGGAATACATTTTCACTAATAAAGAATTATTTTACCACAAGTTATTGTGACCTATTCATTTCGGTGGTTTATGTACGTATGTGCATAATAAGTTTGGAGGAATCCTTAAAAGCATCTGGAACCCACGTGACATTATCATTTCCTGGCCCCTATGTTTGGAGGTTTCCTAGCGCAGACAATCTCTCTAAGGCTGTATTGTAATATATATAATTCCTCACTCACCTGTGGTAAAAGATGCAACAGTGCATCACCTGAGAGTGTACCAACAGCGGTGCCTACAAACAGCTGCAGAATGAGTTTGTATAGCTCATTGCAAGAGTTGAAAGCAATTAGTGTGATGCCGCACATTGAACCCACAGTGATGATAGCGACAGCCACTGTACTATATCCATATTCTAGAAAAACAGAGAGTCCAGTTAACCACTTTGAATAATCATGCTAATATGTACAAATACACAGCAAGAAGTTATCAGGTATGATCCCTAATCTTTCCCAAGTTTATGGTGTGTTTGTGTGTGTTTGTTTGTGTCTCTGCAATGTGTCTTCGGCTCTGATGGCTCCAGTGATTGAATCATACACTAAGAGTGGTCAGTTGATTGGGGTACTAGAATAGTTGCTACCCATGGAACTATACAGCAGTTTGAATCTCTGCCTCCAGGGAAAGAAAAGGAAAAGGAAACATGTTCTGTTCTTTTTTTCTGCAGTGTGAAGTGCGATCTGAAGATGCGTAAAGAGGGGCAAAGTGGAGCGATTGAGGCAAAGAGTTCAAGAGGTCAGGCCATAGTGGCTGAAAGCACGGCTGCTGATGGTACGAGCAGAGGATACTAAGGACAGAAGACCCGACCAGGCTGAACAATATAATAATAATCATTACCATTTGTATAGCGCCTTTCACATCAGGAGCACTCGCCAAAGGGTTTCACCAGATAGATTGCAAAGTGTAGTGGCTGTGTGTTTCATTACCAGGGCACAGATCTGTAAATTTCCCCCCAATCATCACGGCAGGGCCAATTTTTCTGCGTCACCAAAGTCCAAACACCCCTCATAACTCATTTCAGAGCACTGATCACTGTCACCTTTGCCCATGTCGTTGTCCATATCTGCCTTATCACAGTCACACGTAATGGCCAACTGCTTAAATCAGAATATTCCAGGTTACGAGGGACTCAAAGAGAACTTGAGAAATTTAGCACTCAATTGTTGGTAAGGTATTATGTAATACTGAAATAAATTCTGTATGAAAATGTATTCAAAATATTTTTAATAAATTAAAATTTTTCCATTAAAATGGCTATGCAGAATTTGTGGTGATTTGTTTTTTTGATTTCTTTTATTTTCAATCTCAATATTTATTTTATTTTAGACTTTGCCATATATTGACTTTGTAATTCCTCTTGACATGCATTGTACGTACAATATTAAACTGTGTGTTGGAGCCAACGGCCAGCGTGAAACCATGCTGAGACTTAACAGTATACATTTACCGTCTCTTTGTCTCTCTAACGACATATTGATACAGGAATTTTTCAGGCAGTTGCTGTGGTCTGAAACATTGATTGTCCAGCGCTTTGGGACTTCCTCTCAATGTGAAAAGCATTATACAAAAGTAATGCTGTGGTTGTTGGTTTGGAGCAGTAATTCACTGCCAATGAGCAGTATAAACAGGGCTCAGGGAGCATGAGGCTAGAGACTTATCCTGGCACCACCTACAGGAGTTCTGACTGTGTTATTACACAAATCCATAGCAAAAAAAATCATGTTATTCAGTACAACTTACTCTCGGCAATAGTTGGTGGAACCCTGGATTGCATATGTTCCTCTTCACTGTGTTGACAAGCTCCACTGAGCAGCTGCTGAATAATAGCTGGACTGATGTGGCTGAAGTGTTCTTTTGAAATTGCAGATTCATTGCCATTTAGGAAAATTTCCACTAGCTTCTCACCAGAAAAGCAAACCTAGCCAGGAACCACACGACAGTCAACTTAACCTAGATGGATGCTTGTTTAAAAACAACAAAGAGCCATTCCAGTGATTAATTTGATAAATATAGAGGTAGGGCAAAAATTTGTGTTCGAGTACGTAAACTTTACAAAGCCACCAACGTGCGTGACTTTAATAGAAGTACACAAATATTCACTTGAGCAGCAACATCTTTAGCATGCAGAGGACTGAAGAACTGCATGATTTTAACCTTAAGAACGTTGCCTTAAAATTTAAGTCGATGCAGAAATTTTAGAAATTTCTCAAATTCTGTTTTAATTTGGACGATAATTTTCTGGAATATTTCTTAAAAAAACGCCAATAATTATTGCAATTTCTAAAACATCGAATACACAGTACATTTCTTATGAAGACATATATTAAGAAATATTGCAAATTACATCACCTTTAATAAGTTAGTGAAGTTTTAAAAATAATTAAATACAATAGTTCAAAAACAGACTATTGGGTCAATAATAACACCAATAAGCTATCTGCCAAAGGAGAATTTCATAGAATGATATGGCACATTTAGCCCAACTAGTCCATGTCTGTTTTTATACTCCAACCTCAACCTTTCCTATTTTTATCTGCTACACCCATCTAATCCCTTGTCTTTAACGTACCCATCAAGTTTCCTGTTAAAAATGCTAAAGCTTTTTGCTTCAAACTCAACTTTGGCAGTGAGTTCCGCATTATTACCACCATATGCATAAATAAGTTTCTCCTAAACTGCCTATTAGATCTCGCTATCTTAGATTTATGCCCTCTAGTTCTGGTCTCACAAACAAGTGGAAACAGATTATCAAACAACACCTTATTGAATCCTTTCTTAATTTTAAACACTCTAACAGATCTCCTCTCAATCATCTCATCTCTAGGGAGAAAAGCTCCATCCTTTCTTGGTAGATGTATCCACTCATCCATGGTAGCATCCTTGAAAAACTGCTTTGTACTCTCCAATTCTACAACTTCAGAGCAATGAGGATGATCTTTAGAGCAATGAGGAATGACCCCCAGTGTTAGAGGAATGAACAACGATTAGACAAGCTATGGCTCTTCAGTTTTGAGATATGAATGAATCAGAAGGGACCTCATAGAGATGCACAACATTTTAATTGGGATGAAAAATTATCCAAGATCAATACTTTAGGATTCACCAAGACACTGGAACAAGATCACATAAGTTTAGAGTTGTAAACACGAGTTTCAGGAGTTTTTTTATTCAGATGATAATCAACTACTGTAACAGGCTGCTAGGAAAAGTAGCAGAGGCCAGATCACTAGACTCATTTAAAAAGCAGCTTCATGGAGGGATGAGGTATGGTAAGATTGGTGTTCTGGAGGGATGAGATCAAATGGGTTGAAGGACTTTCTTCATCGAGAACAATCACGTGATCTTGTGATTTTGTGTAATATCTAATATGAGACACTAATATCAGGTTAATTATTTTACCATTTTACCTTTGTCCACGTGAATTTACCATTAACATGTGCATGGTCATTATGGTCTTCATGTCTTAGTTTTCGGTGTAGACCGTTGGAGTTTCTGCGGTGTGTATTCATGCTTCTCAGGTCTGCCTGGTTGTGATGTGAGTGTGATTCAAGGTGCTTTCCCAAACCCAGTTGCTTCAGGAGATGATTCAAGTCTGAATATAAGGACATAAATGACAGAATCGCAATGAGTCATCATGTTCATTTTCTTTAAGACTGGTGTATAGTTTGTCCTACCATGAACTTCAAATTCTGAGAGAGGTGACAAATGCATTTAAAAATCTCTGTAAACATAACATTCTCTGTCATTTCTCCCTTGTCCCTGGTAGTAATTGAGTGACACTATCAGATATGAATATAACATTTTTAACTACATTGGTTTAAATTGTGATATTGCACAGTACAGTGATTGCAAGATCAATGAGGTGATTCATATTTGAAGAATCAAATTTGATTTGTTTCACAAATCACTAACTTGATCAACTCACAGATAATAGTAATAATAATAATAGATGAATTTAATATTGTGCTTCTCAAGTCCCAAAGCACTTCACAGGGTAAAGTGAAGTAACTGTGTGTTTTGCAGGTGAACACGGCACCCAATTTGTGCATAACAATATTCTACAAACAGCCATGAATTGATTGATCAATTTTATTTGGGGGATTGTTAGCCAGGACACCTAGAGTTGTGGTCACAGGTGGTCAACTAATGGGTCAGCTGCTTCTACTCCCTGAATAGTGTCTGGCAACAGTAACTGCAGTAGATTTTCAGTTTGGCCTCAGAAGCTTTAACATACCTGCGGTACTCATACTGTTCGTGCTGTTTAAGAAATCGAAAATAAAGTCGACGAAGAAGTCTGGACTGGGTAAGTGTGAGTTATCAATGCACAGTCCTTGCAGGATGTAGGTAATGAGAGCAGCAGCCAGAGGAGGGGTGCTGTGCTCATCAGCCTCTTGGGTATCTATGATTCCAGTCTCCTTCTCTAACCATTCTGCATCAACGCACTGCAAAAGAAAAAGTCTACAGTTTTTTCTTCACGTGAAATTCTTGCAAATACACAGCCATTGCACTTATAGGTATCCTGTGAAGTGCTTTCAGAAGTTTCGATGGCATGATAAGGCGCTATATAAAATACATGTATTATTATTATAAATGAGGTCTCATTTTGTAGATTCGTAGATGGTACAGCTTGGAAATTGGATATTCAGTCCATTATATTCCACACAAGTGCCTTTTCTCAATCCTATATCCAGGCTTTTCCTAAACTTTATTCTTCCTTGACCATGTGTACAGTCTTTTTTGAATGTGCATAATTGCCGCACCAAACAATTAATTGTGGCAGAAAATTTCACATTCCCACCCCTCTCTGTGAAAAAGTTCCTCTTAATCTCCATTCTGGATTCCCAGTTCTGATTCTAGAACTGTGCACTCTAGCCTTGATCTATTGACCCTTGGAAATAATCTTTCCCTGTCCACCCTAAGCCTGCCTTCATCTTATATATCTCCCTTCATCTCTATCATATCCCCTCTCAGCCTTCTGAGCTCCAATGAGAAAGTGTCCCAGTTTATCAAGCCTTTTCATATAGTTTACATTTCCTTTTTTCATTTTTGGTAAATCTTTCTGTGATTCCTTCACAAAGAGTCCCCATAGAATCTCATCGACTGCAGGAATTTGGCTCTGGAGGTAGATCAGTTGTGCCAGAATAGGCTTAGTGTATAGTTGGAGTTGAGATACAGATCAGCCATGATCTAATAGAATGGCAAAACAGGCTGAAGGGACTGACTGGCCTATTCCTAAGTTCCTTCCAAATTTTTTGAAGAGGTCACTAAAATGGTAGGTAAGAGAGGTTCTATGAATGTTATTTATTTATTATATGGACTTTCACAAGGCATTTGATAAGGTCTCACACAAAAGACTATTAGCAAAAATGGAAGTGCACGGAGTGGAGGTAATCTTGTGACATAGCTTTGTTAATTGGTTGGGAGGCAGGAATCAGAGAGTAGGGATAATAATAATAATAATCCTTGCATTTGATATAGTGCTTTTCACGTCTTCTAGACGTCTCAAAGCAATTCACAGAATATACTGTAAAGTGAATTGACTATTTTTGTGGGCGAAACACGGCAGCCAATTGCACACAGCAGTGTCCCACAAAACAGTCATGGGTTGAAGTGACCAATTTATTATTGTTTTCTTCTCTTGAGGGATTATTATCAGGGATTTGGAGTAAAGAAACTTGCCCAAGGTTTCACCCTGCCGGGAATCGAACCCAGGTCTTTCGCTCGCGAGGTGAGTGCTCTAACCACTGAGCGACAGGACTCCATGAAGGGAACATTCTCTGATTGGTGGGATGTGACAAGTGGTGTCCCCCCGGGGGTTTGTACTGGTACTTCAGCTATTCATCATTTATATAAATGACTTGGATAAAGGAATAGAAAGTTTTATATCCAAGTTTGCAGACGCTAAGCTAGGAGGCTCAGTAAGTTGTGTAATGGGAGTACGAAGTTTACAAAGGGACTTAGACAAAATAAGTGAGTGGGCAAAGCTGTGGCACATGGAGTTCAATGTGGGAACTGTGAGATCATCAATTATGGACTGAATAAACAGATAAAGCAGAATATTTTCTTAATGCGGAGAAATTAAGAACAGTGGAGGTGCAAAGAAATTTGTCCGTATCCACCAATCACTAGAAACTAGTTCCCAGGTTCAAAAAGTAATCAAAAAGCTGAATGGAATGTTGGCAAGGGGACTGGAATACAAAGAGGAAGAAATTATGCTTCAGCTGTATAGAGGTTAGTCAGACCCCATCAAGAGTACTGCATTCAGTTCTGAGCAACACATTTCACGAAAGATATATTGGCCCTGGAGGGGGTGCAGGGCAGGTTCACCAGAATGTTTCCTGGCCTAAAAGGGTTAAGTTATGAGGAAAGGCTGCATAAACTTGGATTGTACTGCCTTGAGTTTAGAAGATTGAGGGGTGATTTGATTGAAGTATTTAAGATGATAAAGGGATTCGATAGGGTAGATACAGAGAAGGTATTTCCTCTGGTGGGGAATCTAAAACAACAAAGGGGCATAGTCTTAAAATTAGAACCAGGCCATTTAAGAGAAAAATCAGGAAACATTTTTTCACTCAAAGGTTGGTAGAAATCTGGAAATCTCTCCCCCAAAAGATCGTGGATGTATCAACAATGAGGTTGATAGATTTTTGGTAGGTCAGGTTATTACAGGAAATGGGCAGTAGTGGGAATTGGAATTGAAATTATTAGTTGAGGTGCAGATCACCCATGATCTAATTAAATGGTGGCAAAGGCTCGAAGGGCTGAATGGCCCTTTCCTGTTCCTGTGTCTGCATGATTTAGTTCTGGTAACCAGAAAGAGTCTCCATTTACACAACTTGGATTCCATAATGGGGAATACATTTAAGAAATGCCACAAATTGACTCCATTGTTTAGGTTTAAAAGAACAACAACTTAGATTGATATAGCGCTCTTCACGGGATAAAGTTTCGGAGGGCTTCAGAGTGAAGGGATCGTACACAGAGTAGGGGAAGGGGGAGAGGGCAAGGTCAAAGAAGTAGTTTTCATAGTGGAGGGGTAGAGGAAGGGAGGACCTTAGATGCATAAAATCTGCAAACTTGGCCACCATGTTGGTACCAAAAGGGTNGGGGGCATGAGGCAATGGCAAATTAGCCAAGCGGAGGGATTGAGCAGAGGAGTGGGTAGAAGGAGGTAAGAGAGATAGAGGTACTACGGCATGAAGGGATTTGTAAGTGACAAAGCTCACTGTCAAGTATCAGATGTAAATAATGGGCAGCTTGACCATTACGACAAGGTGGAAGGTACCAAGCAGACAGAGGAACAGACCCAGGAAAAATGAGCACAGAAGATTGTCTTGAAGAGGGGTACAGAATTTTTTGTGGGGGCGGGAGGGAATAATCTACAGTTTAAAATATTAAAATATCAAGGTGTTCCACCGTCTAGAGACACAATCAACTTTACCTGACTCCATGAGGAAACTGTATAATGCTCCTGAATGATTTCCAAAAGTTTGCTAACTTCATTGTGGGAAAGATATTGTGAATTTTCTTCCGGTATTAAACTTAAAATGCCTTTGAGGTAGAATTTGTAATTCTTGGTGGTCGGAAGAGTTTTTGAAGAGCAGACGTCTTTCATGTTAATTATATAATAAAGAAGGATAACAGATATTCTGTGAAAGGCATCTTCATTAAGTTCGTCCTCTGCCGTTCCTTCCACAAATGACAAGAGATACTCCGGTGAAAGACACTGCAATTAAAATGCAATGAAATGTGAATACTTTGAAATAGTAGTGCAGTGAATCTAACATAACTCAATACATAATAATACAATATACAATAATAATTCTTGCATTTGAATTAGTGTATTTTACTTCAGGAGGACATCTCAAGCCAGAGGCAAATGCACATAGCAACGTCGCACAAACAACAATGCAATGAATGACCAATTTTTTCAGGGTGATTGTTGCCCAGGACACCGGGAGAAATTCCTTCTCTTTTTGAACAGTGTCATGGAATCTTTAATGTCTATGTGAATAGGCACCAAGGTGGCATGCCTGACAACGGAATGTCAGACTCTATTCAGCTCTCTGTGGCGGTGGCGGTAGTCTGGTCCTGAGCCAAGTAGGTCCTCAGTATTCCAGGGCACTGTTCATGACAGCACATGGATCATCGGCAGGACCTGGAAGGGCAGACCAGTCACAGGGGGCAACGAGCCAACCCACTCAGCTCCTGCTAACCTTGCAAGCCAAAGCACTATGGATAGGGTGGTCCTAGCTGGGCAAGCAGTGGGAAAGCTTTCCAGACAACAATATCCATGGCAAGCTATGCATTTTTAGCTGTTTAGACTCCAGCACACGCACTTTTGGTGTCCCCAAGCCTTGGCTCTTGCAACCTGCACTTAATACTTTCCGAAGCAGGAAGCATCCCGACAGGGAGAGAGTGCACATTCCATTCCAACAATCTATCTATGGGATTTCCATGTGTAATAATAATAATGTAAGTGTGATGCATGGAAATCTCAGCTTAGTTTGGATACTCTTACACCTGGTGGTCGGTTTCTGCACGTATCAGACACCTGGCTGACCAAAAAAAAAAAAAAAATTTGAACAGACAGACAGAACCTTAGTTTATCATCTCATCTGAAGGACAGCATCTCCAATAATTCAGCGCATCCTAATAATGTGTTAGCCTTGGTTGTGAGTTCACATTATCAATGTGGGGCTCACAACCACAAATTTTTGGCTCGCAGATGAGAGGGCAACCAATTGAGCCGGCTGACATCTAAATATATATATATATATGCAGGGTGCTATATCAATATAAACTGTATTGTACATATATACACAATACAAAAGCTTCCAAATAATTAGCTAAAGGAGCTTTTGGGAATGGAAAAGAAAACTAATCAGTAGCTAGAAAAATTGAATAGCATGAATAGCTGATGACAAACCAGCCAGGCTGGCTGATCGGCAAGGAGTTGAAAAGCATACCATTCACTGGGAACAGTAATTCTTCCCACTCAGCGCTTGTTACCCCTGCAAGCCAAAGCCCCACCTTAGCAGAATGCTTCTACTTGGAGAAGCAGATGGAAATTTACTCTCAGTAGCAAGTTTATGAGGTTTTAGCTGGTTAAACTCTGGTAGTACCTAAGTATTACAATACAATACAAATTTGTATTTCACATTTTGAGGACTTCCCAAAATGCTGAACAGTCCAGCATTTGTTGGTGGGGGTGGGGTCAAGGGGATGCAGAAGTAAGGATGATGAAAGGGGAAAGATAGTCAAAAGCATGGTCAAAAAGGAAGGTCTTGATGAGGACCTTGAAGTAGGCGAGGGAAGGGGCAAGTTGAAGGGATTTGGAGGGTCTTCCAGAGAATGGAGGCAGACGTGATGGAAGCCCAACCACTGACGGTGCGGCAGGTGGAGCAGGAGATGCGATGGAGGCCAGTCCCTGCTGCGTAGAGGGAGTGGCTTGGTTGATAGGGTTTGAGGAGGTTGCAGAAGGAGGATGGGCCAAGACCACATAAGGCTTTAAAGGTTAGGATGAGCATCTTGATCTCTGGGGGTTGTGGAGCCAGTGGAGCTGGGCGAGGATGGGAATGATAAGTTTGCGGAGCCTAGTGCAGAAAAGAACACAGGTTGTAGAGTTTGAATAGTCTACAACTTGTGGAGAAAAGAAGCAAGTATTCTGACGAGCAAAGAATTGGCATAATCAAGCCTAGACATGATGAATGCACGGCTTAGGATCTTGGTGGCCCAAGAAAAGAGCAAGTGGCAGAGGCGGGCAATATTACAAAGGTGGGGGAAAGCTAAACATGAATGTGTGGTCTTTTTAAGGACAGTTGAGAATTGAACAAGACACCTTGGCTCCATGAGGTGGAGTGAGCCACCATGTGGATTGATGCTACAGCGAAAGGTGAGAAAGCCCTGACGACTGCCAAACAGGAGGGCCTCCATCTTGTCAACATTCAACTGGAAAAAGTTAGCTCTCATCCAGGACTTGATGTCCAACAGGCAAATGGTCAGAACAGAGTGGTCCTGGAATCGAAGGTGGAGGCAGTTAGGTGTTTCCCACATGCATGTGGAAATTAACCCCCATGTATGCGGATGACATCGCTAAATGGAAGCTTTTTTAAGAAGGGAGGGGGTGATGACACCTTTTGAAAGAAGTGGGACCTATGTCAGTGGACAAGAAGAGGTTTATATTGGGGCAAGGAGGTGGAGCTGGGAGGTCGGTAGAGGGGTGGGAATTTGGTCAAGGGAGCACATGGTGGGTTTCATGTATACAGGAGATGAGGGAGAAGAGGGATAAATGAGACACTGGGTCGAAAGTGTAGAGTGAAGGTTGAGAGGAAGGCAGAGGAAGAGGGGATAGTAGAAGTAATGGCAGAGACAGCAGAGTGAATCCTTTCAATTTTGGACCCAAGAATAACCATCATCTCCTCGCATTTTGAATTGGATCAGAGGATGGGCAAGGCAAGTGATAGTGGATTCCAGGATCATCCTCTTCTTGAAGGACGATTTGGGTGCGGTGAAGGTGAAGGTGGAAGCAATAGGTTTTGGTGCAGCTTAAATTCCAAATCTTCTATTGCCACTTGACAAATATTTTACACTTAAATCCAACAAATGTTTGAGGTGTTCAACAAGGCACTATATAAGATACAAAGATCAATATTATCATTTAATAAAATGTAATAATTAGAGTAAATTATGAATAATAACAGTAATTGTTAGTTCATTAATAATTATTCATGATCATTTAATAATAATTAAATTTTAACCGTTGACCAAGATCTTTTGTTTAATATTCAACTCAGAGGGGGATGTAGTGGGGAAGCTGCTTTAAACTTAATTTGGGTTATGAGCTTTAAAGAATGCCTGGCAGTTTTTTTTTAGTTCTGCATTAAGTATGTACATAATCACACTTAATTACTTAAGGATGCTTCAAGTATTGCAAGGCTCAAAGACTGCAGTAAACCTCTTTGAGCTGACTAGTGATTATTTACTATGGAGAATATTTTCATTCAGTCATTTTATATATCTCATTTATAAGTCTAGCTGAAGGCTGTGTATGCCCATGGAATTTATTAAGGCATCAATTCTTAATGAGATTTCTGAATACCAAATGCAAATGAGGCAAATTGGTCTCTTTCCAAGTAACTGAAAGTGCGTCACCTCCAATGTGTGGGAACAGCTCTGGTTGGACGTCTTCCCGATGTGAAAGGTGCTACACAAATGTAATTTTGTTGTTGTTGTTGTTGCAATTCACATTCGGGGTGGAGTTTCTGCTGGTTGATGGAAATTCTATAGGATTCCTTATTCCTCGTAGGTTATTTAACCAGAAATACACAAAAAAAGTCACTATCTGATTTAATAAGTGGGATTCTGGGATGCTAATCCTGAATGAGGGGCGCTGTATAAATGCAAGTTATAAAAAGAATAATTATAATAATAATCCTTGCATTTGATACAGCGCATTTCACATCTTCTAGACGTCTCAAAGCGCTTCACAGAATATACTGTAAAGTGAATTGACTGTATATTTGTGGGCGAAATGTGGCAGCCAATTGCGCACAGCAGTATCCCACAAACAGTCATGGATTGAAGTGACCAATTTTGTTATTATTGTTTTTTCTTGAGGGATTATTAGTAGGCGTGTGGAGTAAGGAAACTTGCCCAAGGTTTCACTCTGCTGGGAATTGAACCTGGGTCTCTCACTTTCAAGGTGAGTACTCTAACCATGGAGCTGCAGGACTTCACACAAGTTGTTATTCTAATAAATCTCCTTCACTGGCCTTTTGACTGGAATTGTCAACATAGTTTCACATTTCAGAGCTGTACCTACATATATCAGCCTGGCTCTCATCTCTGGGTTCATGACTTTGAGTTCATGATCTTTGTGACAGTCCAACAGAGTGCTGGGAGAGCACTGTCTTGTCGGAGCTACCGTCCTTTAGATGAGATAATAAACTAACTTTGCCAGTCCTGGTGGAAGTCAAAGATTCAACAACACTATTCAAGAAGAGAAGGAAGATTCTACCGGTGTTTTGGTCTACAATTCCCCTAACAACATTGGTCATTCACTTCATGGCTGTGGGTGAGACATTGCTGTTTACACATTGGAATGCTATGTTTGCCTTCAAATACACAGTCATTACACTTTACAGAATGTTCTCTGTAGTGTGTGAGTCATTTCACCTTGAAAAAGGATAATATCAAATGTAAGGATTATTATTATTACAGTTCTCTTATGTCACCATAACACTGGCACACAGAAACTACATTAAAACGAACAAATTGCACTAAATCTAAGGAATTTTGCAATATTTAACATACAATAATGAACATGGTGATACCCAGCACATAATAGCAACTTGCGTGTTTTCGAAGGAAAACTATTGCAATCTTGGTAATGAAAGCTAACTCTTGTTTTTTGAATATAACAATTTTGATCCATCATTTCAATAAATCTCAATTACTAAAGGAAGTTGTTTCCTTATTACTCCCTTATAATTCTGGTTATAATAATTTTATATTTTTTATACTCTAAACCAAAGTACAGTATATTGCTTGTTGATATTGTAAAATATTTTTCTAGATAAGCATAGTTTAGTGAAGAATCAATTTTTGGTCTCGTACCTTGTACTTTGCATTCATAACTAAAACAATGCAGCATGTTTGATCAATAGACTCCTAGTGTGGAAACCACAAGCCCCACTTGCAATCAACAAAGAATTTAGTCTATCCATTCTCTTGCTGTTCTATGGCAAACCTTTTCTTTCGTGTGAAGTGCTCGTAAACCTGACAAATGTTTACTGTTTACGGTTGCTCTGTGTTTTTCTCTGATATTTGGAAAGGTATAAGTAAACCCACCTGGTCACACTGCCTGACTGTGTTCCCCGTTCTTTCTGTGCATTGTACTCGATCCCAGAGCATGTGAATCAACAAGCCAGTGGCATTCCTGGGAAATGCAACATGGTCACCGAGAGTCAAGTTGTGTAGAACTTCTTTCAGATAGCCATAGTTGTGCCAATCTGCCTCTCTGTTCTCGTTGGCCTCTACTTTGATAAGAGTACCCACTGTACTGACGCATATCACCAAACGAACCCAAGGCAGCAGCATGTTTCTCTTTTGCCCAACAAATGTCCTACTTCACTTAGCTTATTCTCTTCCTCCTTGTGCAGCTTTGAAACCTGTGGTAAGAGGGGAAAATGTTCACATGAGCTGCCTTCTTGTGAACTAAAATGAAGTGGAGTAAAGCCAGTACTCAACTTGCTGTGAATCACATAGCCATTAAATATTAACAGGAAGAATCCTGAAGTCTACCACACATTAGCCCCACCTCATCCTTTTGTTAATCTGAAGTTTAAAAGCAATCTGTTGCTCAACAATCAATGATTCACAATAATGGAAGTTTTAGCTGTATTGAATATTGAAATAATATAAGAGCATAAGGACATAAGAAATAGAAGTAGGAGTAGGCCATTCGGTCTCTCGAGACTGCCCCACTATTTAATAAGATCATGGCTGATCTTGTAACCTAATTTCATTTACCCGCCCTATCCCCATATCCCCATATCGCTTAATCCCTTTAGTTTTTAAAAATCTATTTAACGTGATTTTTCAAGAAAATATCTTGTGTTCCAAGAAAGTAATACTTCAGAATCGGACATTAGATCTGTCCCCACTCTCTGGAACTCCATCCTGGAGTCCCTCTGACCTGTCTGGAGTCCTGTAGCTCAGTGGTTAGAGAACTCGCCTTGCAAGCGAGACATCTGGGTTCAATTCCAGGCAGGGCGAAACCTTGGGCAAGTTTCCTTACTCCACACGCCTAATAATAATCCCTCCAAAACAAAACAATAATAAATTGGTCATTTTCAATCCATGACTGTTTGTGGGACACTGCAGTGCGCATTTGGCTGCCGCGTTTCGCCCACAAATATACGGTCAATTCACTTTACAGCATAATCTGTGAAGCACTTTGAGACGTCTAGAAGACATGAAAAGCGCTATATCAAAATGCAAGGATTATTATTACTATTCCCTCCCTCGCCTTCTTCAAGGCATGTCTGAAAACAAACCTCTTTGACCGTCATCTTTCCCCTTCCCCGCTCCCCTTAGCTCCCACCCCCGAGCTCGAGTGACCATCCAGTCGTGTCTGATGGTCGAGGGGTCTCCAAACTCACCTGAATGGAGACTTACTGTCCATTGTTTCCGCACCCACAAGTGGTAAAAACTTTCTCTGACTTAATTTAAGGCTTTGGGGTGTTGCCAAATTGTATGCTTGTGACCAGTGAATATTTTAAATGTATTTTGAGCAGGGCGTTAGTAACTGACTGATAGCAAAGCCCTAATATTAGGAAAACAACCCAGCAAACTGACATTCTGAACACTTCTGCATTCTGTTCAGAGCCAAATTCCCAGATTATTGTAGAAAAACTTAAGTGTAGTGCCTGTTTTTGCAGGCAAACACAAAGCCATTTGTGTTAGTGAGGTCCTACAACTACAGCAGTCATAAAGTTAATTGCCAATTAGTTTGAAGGACTAAAAGACTGGGAGAAACTCCCTTCTCTTTTCAAACAGTTCCATAGGATCTTCAATATCTGCTTGAAAACAGGCAGAACAGACTGTAATTTTACGTCTTCAAAGATTTACAAAGAATGTACAGCATAGAAACAGGCCATTCAGCCCAACCAGTACATACCAGTGTTTTTACTCCACATGGGTCAAGGTGACTTTGTTTTCCGCATGTCATTACCCCCCACATTCCTCTTCCATATTACATTGTGTTTCTTTTTACTCCCCTGTCATATTAGCCTAAATCTTCCACTGCAGCCCTAATTATTTTCCCAGTGAGGAGATTAGTGCAAACCTTGTTCAGGTAAAGCCGATGCCTTCCATTCAGCTCCTTCCTGCCCCCAAACTGCTCCCAATGCCCTAAGAATGTAATCCCTTCCTTCCTATATTATCTCTCCAGTCATATGTTTGCTTGTCATATCTCCCTATTAATATATTGACTGGCATATGCAACGTGAAGTAATCCTGGGATTACAATGCTAAAGGTCCTATGCCTTAATCCATCTCCTCATTCCTGGAACTCACTCTGCAGGATCTGAAATCTACTGTTGCTTACGTTATTGGTTCCTACATGAACCATGAATGCTCACTGGTCTCTCTCCCTCCCTCTCTAAAATCTTATCCACCCACTTTGTTACTTTCCTTACCATTGGAATTTCAGCTACTGAATGACTTGTCTATTTCCCTGATTATGGAGCCTTCTGTCTCCACTGCATTCCTGACCTTCACTTTCATCTCCTGGGCAGCCACTTGCTCCATGGTGATATTACTCATGGTTGCCTTCTGTTGAGGCATTGTCTTTATAAACGGTACTCATTGCCTGATATATGTTTGCCAGAATAGTATCCCCACTGGATTTCTGCACTCCTGTCTCCTGTCTGTTCTTCTGAACCCTGAGGACAGTCATCCTTGTCCCTTCCTTGTTCTCCATACCTGCTGGTGTGGTGGTCACTTCCAGGAGCACATGATTCAGAAATTCAAGTTCACCAGCTTTGAGCTTGAGCGCACACACTTGGACACATTTCATATATGTATAGTTGTCCTCGGCACTAAAAGAGGTCAGAATCTCCAATAATCATGCATTTTCCATACAAAACAGGGATAAGCTCTCTTTCCATTACTCTAATAAATTGTTGTCTTGCATCTCCTCTGACTTAACTCTCAGCAGACACAACTCATCAATTTGCCTCAAGTCTACTCCACTTCAGTCTCGCTTTGCTCAAATCTCTCTGCTTTTATTTTGCTAAAAGATAGCACACAATTTACACTCAGCTAAATTGATTTGGATATTTGAATATTCAAAATTCAAATCTGTCTTACTGCCAAAATAGGCTTAACCCAACTGCCAAATTTAGCTCACACCTTTTGCAATTTAACTTATCTTACTTAACTTTCTTATTTACCTACAAACTTCTCTTATCAATAGATTTACAATCTCAGGCGACCCACCTCTCCACTCTCTGCTTCACGTTCACTCCACTTCTCATCTGAAAACAAGCACAGAACCTCCAACAATACATTGCCCTTCCCACCTTCTGGAATGGGTGTGGCAACTTAACCTAGGAGCTCAAGTTCCATGGCCTTTTTGGCCCAGAGATGAGAGTGTTTCTAACTGAGCCAAGCTGGCAGTTAAATATGTCAAGGCAAACTACTGACAATAGTCAAGAGAGCTGTGTTACCAACCAAAGCAACAGCAAATGGCACAGAATCGAAGCCTGAAAATGTAATGGGTAGTGAGGAGACCAAGTTGTATGGAGTTTGCAGCAGATGACATTGAAAATTATACCTGAGAGCTGAAATAAACTCAGCTCCACACAGTTAAAAATCGCAATTAGCAAATTTCCAGCTCCCTCAAAGCCTAGAAGCAGAAAAGTATTTGAAAGTCACGTTTCACCAGTCCAGTTGCAATTGGATATTGAGCAGTTCTGAACTCCAGACATACAGCAACGGTTGTTACAAGTTAAGAGTCAGATACCAACCCTCAGGTTGTAAGGATAAAATATCATTGGAACAATAAACAGTGGTGTATAATCTGTTTTAGGACAAACACATAAATTATTACTTGCTGCAGGACTGGAAGAGAGGAGAGAGAGAGAGAGAGAACGAGAGAGAAGGAAAGCAAAACAGAATCAAAGATTGAAAGGAATAAATATCAAGAGACGTCCAACAGAATAAACAAGTAGCAGCCTGAATGAGGGATAGAGACATCAATGCGTAGAAAGTAAAAAGGAAAAGAAAAAAGACTGGAGGAACAGATGGAAAGAAACTGATTTGCTGCCCCTTCGAGTCTTGACCTTAGTACACCATTTCTAACTTTGTTATAAGTGCATCAACGGCTCATTGCTCATGCATCAGAAAATCTCTTTACCTTTCAGCTTAATGTATGGGTTTCCTCTTCCAACCTAAAAAAAACTTCTAATGTCTTCTTTAACCTTCGTTCGTATTAGTGGGAATTGTAATACACTGAGAGATTAGCAAGCACTACTCGGTGTTCTTGTTGCTATGGAGATCCTTGGATTTATTTCTGTAATGAGAGCACTTCAGTGTGTGCGTGTATGTATGTGTGGGAGAGGAGGGAGTGTGGTAAGGATGGGGTTTAGTTGGCCAGGTCGGCTCACCACACCAATATGTTCTGAGATCGCATTGAGAATGTTTTGTGTGAGGTATATGGAAAGCAAGGACGACTTTATCGTTTCGTTCAATTCTTCATCCTGACTGCGTTTTTTTCAGAGCACAATGCTACTCAGGCGAAAGTAGAAGTCTCCTCTCTCTACTCATTGAGTATTAGCATTGAAGCCTATGAAGAGGTTCAAACCTGTTATTTTAAGTTGTTCTTCCATGCTATTCGGAGTATAGGGAGAGTGGGTATTTTCAAGAGAGACATAAGTAAGGGACAATAATCCTCTGATAACCCCTTGAGAATCAGGTACGAGAGCAAGGAGCCTTGGTGGATTTAATCTGCATGGCAGGAGTCCTGAAAATATGCAATGTTTGTTTCACCCACGCTTGATATTGAAAGTCTGTGAGGAATTGTGCCCAAACTGTCACGATCTTTGCAGCTGAAACAAAATCATTTCTTTGGATGTTCCGATCTTCGCTCAACAGATTTGACGAAGTAGGATGAAGCCGTCAGTGATATTCTGTGATCTTCAGATGAATTTTTAAACAAAATATTTGGATGGCATGTTTTTGGTGTCAGTTATAATACTGAATTCATGAATACTACAATTATTTCTTTTTTTTTTGAAATTGTCCTTTTTTAATGCTCTCCCATTGGCATGCACCTCTCAGGGACATATATACCTCTCTGCTCCTGGTCTGGTCTTCTTTTGCAGGGACACAGTTCCTCAAGCACTGGATGCCTTCTGGTGCCCTGCACAAAAGCTTTAACTACCGGTAAGTAGGAACCCAGATGGGCATGGATTGGTGGATCACTTTCCAGGGGTAATAATTGCTCCAAAAAAAGATGATTCAGTTAATCGATTCACAACTGTTTGTAGGACACTGCTATATGCTATTGGCTTCTCCCTCTGAACCCCCTTGTTTTCACATCCATGCTCCAGGACATGATTACTCAAATCTCAGATGGGCGGGTGACTAGGACCCAGGCACCAAACAAGGGAATGTTATCAGAACCCTGACCTCAGCCAGGATGAAGCCAATATATCTTTACCTTTGCTAACGCAAATTGGCACATGTTACCTCTCAGGGGCCCTAAGCTAGTCATTAAAACAAATATCCTTATCCATGCCTTCGTAACTAA